TAATACAAAACATGTATTCTAGTGATTATTTCTGATCTTGAGTGATGTGACTGGTCAGTTGACCTGCTAGTTAGGACTTACATCCACTTCTCTCCACCATAAACTTCCCTCCATTTCCGCTGTCCCCACCCTGGTTCATCCACCCCCTCAACGAGCCTCCTGGTCTCTGCATTCACTCCGGACCCCTCCTCACTCCAGCACCACCAGTTCTCCATATGTGGGCTAGAGGGATCTTTAAAAATCTCTCATTCCTGTTCGTGGCTTCCCGTTTCTCTTAGGAAGAAACTCTTACTGCAGCCTGCAGGGGACGGCCCCTGAGCAGCCGGCCAGGGCCAGCCTCTTCTGGATCCTGGCTCCCGTCTTTCTGCCCTCTGCCCCCCAGCTGCTCCCCAGCACCTTCAGCCCCATCTTCCCTCCATGTGGAATGTTTGCCATCCCCCCACCTTCACCCTGACACCCCAAAGTCAATTCCTTCTTAATGATCAGAGTTCAGCTCAAATGTCACGTCACTGATCCCCAGACTAGATCACTTCTCCAGTTATCCTTTCATAGCTCTTAAGTCATCCATGATCATATAATCAGCTCTACAGCCATCTATTTGAAGTTCTCTTCCTGTCACCTGACTGCCCTGAGGGCGGCTGTGACAGTCTGTTCCCTGTCCTCACCTAGCCCTGCGCTCACACGTTCAAAACTCCTGGGGTAGGTGTTGAACTACAAAGACCTGTTTATCACAGGATAGTTTAATCAAAGGCAGCTGCAGGGAACTCACAGCCCTAAAATGTCCCGAGGAGCGTGAGACACTTTGTCCCAGACAAGGAGGCCCTGGCTGGTGCTGCTTTGCCCAGGGCCTGAGGCTGCCACCTTATCTCAGGAGAACCAGCAAAGCTGCCTCAGGGGAACTTGTGGCTCAGAGGAAGGGAGCCGGAGAGGCCTTTGTGGGAGAAAAAAGGGCTGTGTCTTGATAAAGGATAAAGTACAACCAAAAATATAAAAGTCTTATTTTGGACAGAATGTAGATGGCTTTAAGAGTGCCTAATTAAAACAAAAGAAGGAGATCAAATCGGGAAGGAAAAATTACTCTTCGAAAGGACAGCTCGGGGGAAATTCCCTGGTGGTCCAGTGGTTAGGACTCCGTGCTTCCACCGCAGGGGGCGTGGGTTCGATCCCTGGTCAGGGGAACTGAGATCCCACAAGCCGCTGTACAGTGGGGCCAAAAAAAGCAGACAGCTCCATTCAGCTCACAGCCTTGGTTTGGTTAATCCACTTGTTCCTTTCCCTGCAAAGAATAGGTACTGGTACATCACTTTGCCTCCGTGTGTTTTCAAAAAAATGTTGAGTCAAATAATATCTTAAGTACTTTATTTAAAATATGCACAGTTATATCAAGAATGAGGCAGATTTTTGTGAATCCTTGTGGGTAGCAAATAAGTGTGCCCAGTTTATTACCGATGGGAAGATTGGTGGTCCTCAAGATTCTTCTCAGTGAAGACACCTTCCCTGGGGGGGATTGCAGCCAATTCTGTGGCTTCAACCACCACCTCTACTGAATGTATTTTTATGACATGCAGCTGCCTCCTGGCCGTATTCCATGTCCCTGAGCACAAAGAATGTAGCGCCAACCCTGCTGCCCCTCCTCTTCCCATGAGTGGCCTCACCATCCACCCCACTCACCCCCCAGCTAGCAGCCTGAGGGGCATCCTGACTCCTGTGTAGGAGGCTGCGCTTAGACCCCTAAGTGGACGGGAAGGGCAGACTCCTAGGTCGTGCATGCAGCAGGCCAGAGGGCCCTAGGACTGGCGCAGCAAGCAGTTTAAGCTTTAGACCTGCCGGCTGGCGGAAGTGTTGCCTCCTTTGAGTCTCAGCTGTTGGTGCCCGAGTGGCTCGGGTGAGTTGTTCCATTGTCCCTCTAACTCGGGTGGGGCGACGAGGACACTGAACTTTAGGAGACTTGGAGACGGATGTATGGAGCGCCTTGTGCAGCCACTTTCGTGCAGGCCCTATTTACACCCTTTAATGATTCACTGCGAGCTCTAGGCAGGAGAAAACCAATGTAAAAACAAGCTAGATGGAGTCTGTATCTCAGCCTTCCCTAGCCGCATCCTCGGGCCAGACCCTGCTTTCCAGCACAGTTCTTTCCCTCCCTGATGTGTATACGTTTTGTTTTCTTTGTTTTTGCATTTTACTTTTTTTAATTTAATTTTTATTTCATATTGGGGTATAGTTGATTTACAATGTTGTGTTAGTTGCAGGTGTACAGCAAAGTGTTAGTTATACATATATCCATTCTTTTTCAGATTCTTTTCCTGTATAGGTTATTACAGAATATGGAGTAGAGTTCCCTGTGCTATACAGTAGGTCCTTGTTGATATCTATTTTATATATAGTAATGTGTATTTGTTAATCCCAAACTCCTAACTTATCCCTCCTCCCCACCTTTCCCCTTTGGTAACCATAAGTTTGTTTCTGAAGTCTGTGAGTCTATTTCTGTTTTGTAAATAAGTTCATTTGTATCATCTTTTTAGAGTCCACATATAAGTGATATATAATACTGTCTCTGTCTGACTTACTTCATTAGTATGGTAATCTCTAGGTCCATCCATGTTGCTGTAGATGGCATTATTTCATTCTTTTTTATGGCTTAGTAATATTCCATTGTTTTTAGGTACCACATCTTCTTTATCCATTCATCTGTCGATGGACACTTAGGTTGCTTTGAAGTCCTGGCTATTGTAAATAGTGCTGCAGTGAACATTGGGGTGCATGTGTCTTTCTGAATTATGGTTTTCTCAGGGTATATGCCCAGGAGTGGGATTGCTGGGTCATACGGTAGTTCTATTTTTAGTTTTTTAAGGAACCTCCATACTGTTCTCCATAGTGGTTGTACCAATTTACATTCCCGCCAACAGTGTAGGAGGGTTCCCTTTTCTCCACACCTTCTCCAGCAGTTATTGTTTGTAGACTTTCTGATGACGGCCATTCTGACCAGTGTAAGGTGAACCCAGGCCCTCTTCAGTGAAAGTGCCAAGTGCTAACCACCGGACCGCCAGAGAATTCCCATGTATCCTGCAACTTTACTGAATTCGTTGATGAGCTCTAGTAATTTTCTGGTGGCATCTGTAGGATTCTCTATGTATAGTGTCATGTCATCTGTACACAGTGACAGTTTTACTTCTTTTCCAATTTGGATTCCATTTCTTTTTCTTCTTTGATTGCATGGCTAGGACTTCTAAAACTATGTTGAATAAAAGTGGTGAGAGTGGACATTCTTGTCTTGTTCCTGATCTTAGAGGAAATGCTTTCACCTTTTCACCATTGAGAATGATGTTAGCTGTGGGCTTGAATAGGTTTTAATAATGCTAAAAAGAGTGAGCATATGTTGTTGGACTTTTACCCCGACCCAGGCACAGTCGAAGCTCTATTTGTGCCATGTCTTACTCTCCACAACAGCCTAAGTACTGCATTATGTTAACTGGGGCTCCCACAGACTTTGGGATCAAGTTCCAAGTTGATACCAAACTTTTTTACCAAAAGAGAGGCTTTTGTGACCTTGCGCCAACCTCCCCAGACAGCCTTTTTTCTAGCTTCACTGCCTTCCCTGGAACGCCAGGCCCTGCACCCCATTCCCACATCTTCGCCTGGGCCCCTTGCTCTAGATAAGCCCCCCCTAAACTGAGTGCCCGGCACACGTGCAGCTCTGGCCACATAGATGAGCTGCACTGTTGATATATCTGTTTCCACACAGGAAGTAGGTTTCTGGTCAAGCTGGACTGGATATTCTGTTTCCTTGTATATCTCTGGTGCCTGGCATAATAGGTGGCAAAAAGTGAATGCGAAGACAGACTCGTTTGTATGAATTCTATAATTTGTATGAATTTGACATTGAAATCAATGTTTCAGCGTATACCAGGGCTTGTTTCAAGACTGAGCATGAGCCCTAGGCAAACTGCTCTCGTACATGTGCTCTGGGTGCCCCCCGCCCCATCTCCCAGCAATATCCATATATCCACATGTTTAAATATTCTTTACATAAATAATTGCCACAGAATCTCGCCCTCCATCCTCTGGTTTCCCAGAATTTTTAAAAAATCTGTGATGGGAATAGATGATATCTGCTCTACTTCCAATAAGTCAACCCTGTTTGGTGGTTGTGTTCTTGATTCTGGAAATTGTTGTTTCCAGAATCTAACTTAATCAACACTACGTGAAATAACTTCAGCTCCAGGCAGCGGAAGTTTCCTTTCTTCTCTAGAAAACACTCCTTTTACTGAATGGTCACTGTGGTGTTTAAAAAAAAAAAAAAAAAAAGTTGGCCAATAACATAAAGTTCTTCTAAACAGTCTAATATGCTTCAATGATATGGGTATATATACTCTAAAACTATGCATTGGGTGCACGTGTGGGTGCCCCCCGCCTACCTCAGGTCCGGGTGTGGCTGCTTCCATACTGTCCCTTTGGCCTCAGCTGAGGTCTCCTCCTCCCAGATGCCTTCCTTGACCACCTTAAGAAAAGTAGCCACTCTGCCCCACCACTCTCTTCACCATCTGAAAACCCATTATTTATTACGGGGTGCACCTTTGTCGCTGGATCCCGTGTTCAGCTGTGAGTGGCAGGAGAGGGGCCGCTGATGGGGCCCAGCGCCCGCACAGGGCGTGGAGGGGCACTCCACGGCTGGGGAAGGAAGGAAGGAAGGCCCCCGCCTCTCAGCCCTGTGTGCTCATGTCTGTTTCTCATCTAGCTGCTTCCACAAAGCCAACTTGTAGCGTCAGGACCACTATTTCCCCCTCTCAGCCTCCCTCCTTGTGAGTAGCTGTCAAATCAGTGTCATGATAAGCCCAAAATTTGGGATCTTCTCTCTTTGTAAAAAATCACCGATTTTATTCAGGTACGAATGCTAGAGCTGCAATTTGCATGTCATGTTATTCTCAGAGAGCGAGCTGTTCTTGGATATGAAGGTGTTTGCAGAGCTTCCACGAGGCTAAAGTTCTACTTCTGTGTTTCAGATTAATCAAAAGAAGGAATATAAAGTTGACCTGGTGTTTACCACAGAGCTCTACAACCCAGAGGTAAGCTGCCATGGTTTGTGAAGTGTGCTATTAACAACTTGTATGAATTTTTTTTTTTAAGTGAGAATCTTAATATGTAGTGACCTGGAGGTTTGTCTTTTTTTTTTGTTTCCTGCTTTGTTTTCTATTTGTTCTCAAGAATTGAAGACAGCGCTAGGCAGGACCACTTCATGGTCTCACACAGGGCTCCTTTTACCGCGTCCACACAGCCGCCGTCCCCTCCTTCCTCTGCCGCTGGGAGGGCGTTTCACACCCCCTTTGGACCCGGTGCCCCTCCCTAGCACCTCCGAATCCCCAGAATGATTCACTCTCAAATGCCAACCTTCTCTCCTGTCAGCTGGTGGCATTTCTCGTTAGCGGGCCGGCATAGCACGAGGCCACCTCCAGGAGCTTCCGTGCACAGAGGCATTCCGCAACTCAGAGCAGCCCACGTGCGCCGCAGGCATCTTCAGCCTCTCCTTCTGACCCAGCGGGCCACGGTCGCCAAGTTTCCTTTCCCCACCACCTCCCCCTTCGCAAGAAGAGAGGAAACAGAGGACTCATACAGAAATTAGAGCCAGATGGACTTCCCAGGGCTGGGCCAGGCTGGGAGGCAGCACCCGGAACCGGGGTGGAGGGACCAGCCCAAACCCCTTTGTGTGGCGCGGAGTCAGAGCGGGGGGGATGAGCAGGCAGCATGGGCATTATGGTGTCTCAGGAAGGCGGAGCTTCGGAGAAGGCATAACCCCTCCTGCTGATGCTTCTGGAAGAAAGCTTACCAGATTCACAAACAAGTTCTGACAAGAAAACACTACGCCAACTTTGCTAATTAACCTAAGAATTAACGTTTTCTTAAAGCATAAGGAAGGTGCTTTTGGTTTCTGTGTTGCAAACGGAAGTGTTAGATTAAAGCTAAAAGGAAAACAATTACTAGATTACTTTGACCAACTGTGCTTCTCTGAAGGGCTAGCTAATTGAAATGCTTCCTTTCGGGAGGTAGGGAGAGTTCTTTCATCTTCTGGCAACTGTTTTGATTCTGTGGAGCTGTTTGGGGGGAAAGGGAAAGAAAAACAAAAGGGGACAATACCTATTGCCTTTTCTCTTCCCTGGAAACGGTTTTGACATCAAAAGAGTCCACGTACCAGCCCTGTCTTCTGCCTTTCATAAGCCTCTTCCCCATCGCTCCCTTCACCGTTTTCCTGTATTGCACCGATCATTAGGATTTTAATGTACCACTTAAATTTGCTCTCCTGTAAACCAGCACTACGGGAGAAGACGTTGCCCACTGGAACGCCTATTTCAGTTTTTTTGCATTAGTTCAAGGAGGGGGCTTATTTAGCAGATCCAATTTTAAGTATGGTTTGTTTCATTGTGGGCTTTTTCTTTTTGTTGTCTTAACTGGGACTCCACCCAGTTTAAATGACTGTAAACGTGAAAAGAACTCAGTTGCTCAACCAACCATGTTGTAACAGGAGTTACGGCCCATGGATGGGTTTTGAGTGCCGCCATGAACTCCCTCAGATTCTAGGCCCAGTGGATGGTATGAGTGAATGTGCATTTTTCTGGGAAGCGGTTCCCTGGCTTTTATTGTCGGGTTAAGGAATCAGTGACCTAAAAGAGTGGAGAAGCACCGTCCCAGAAATGAGTTGTACTCTTGATGTCTACTTAAAGCATCCAGCTACCCAGCTCCATGTGTCTCTGGATTGGAAAGTAAATGAGGGAGATCCCAGAACACTCAGTGTGTCTACCTTTAAATATGAGTGCAAGCAGACTTCCCTCAGTCACTCAGGTAGTTGAATCAGTCCCATTTGGGTGATCTGTCCCTCCACTTCTTCTAGATTAGACCTCGGAGTAGAGAGATGGCGTTCTCACAGAGCTGGGGCCCTGGCGTCACACAGACACAGCTCAGGTCCTGGCTTACCACTTACTAGCTGTGAGACAGGGAGTAGGTTCCTCTTTAAACTTGTCTTAAACTGTAAAATTGGAATAAGAGGACAGAATTCATCAGGCAGCATGAAGACACTGTCATTTGTGTTGATGGGAATCAGCTTCCTTTTGGTTCAAGTCGGCCAGCTTGAGGGCCAAGTAAGCATTATGTTGGTTGGTCCACGGTAGAGGGGAAAGTACCTCCATCCTAGCTAGAGGTTTGAGCCGAGTAGCACCCACAGATGTCAGTGGTATTTCTTTGGAAGAGGCCCAGCATTCTTTCATAAGGGCACCATCAGAAAGCAGGAGTTTTTTAAATGACAGCAGACTGAAGATTGTTGTGTTTGGCTGTGAGCACAAAAATCATTTTCTACAAAGCAAAGAATACTACATATGGATGCCAGTGCATACCTGCCATGTACGAGGAACTCCCCAATCTTGTGTGTGTTTTTCATTGGAGTGAGTGGGGGGTGATAAGGAACCATTCTAATTCCAAACTCTTTATTTCAGGAAGGTAAGGAACATCTGGGGAAATGTTCTGCTCGAGTGTTTTTCAGGAACGAGAAACCCAGACCGGCCATTAATATAACGTGTACTCGGCTCATTGAGAAGAAGACAAGACAAGAAGAAGATTATCAGCTCTACAAGTACATGAAGCAACTTAAAAACCTCTTGGATGTTGTCAGCATACCTGGTATGAACCAATATCTGGAATTTCTATATTCAGGAATGCATGTCATTACTATATCTTAAAAAGAATGATCATGGAAGCAACCTAAATGTCCATCGACAGATGAATAGATAAAGAAGATGTGGCACATATATACAATGGGATATTACTCAGCCATAAAAAGAAACGAAATTGAGTTATTTGTAGTGAGGTGGGTGGACCTAGAGTCTGTCATACAGAGTGAAGTAAGTCAGAAAGAGAAAAACAAATACTGTATGCTAACACATATATATGGAATCTAAAAAAAAAACGGTTATGAAGAACCTAAGGGCAGGACAGGAATAAAGATGCAGACCTACTAGAGAATGGACCTGAGGACACGGGGAGAGGGAAGGGTAAGCTGGGACAAAGTGAGAGAGTGGCATGGACATATATACACTACCAAATGTAAAATTGATAGCTAGGGGGAAGCAGCCACATAGCACAGGGAGATCAGCTCGGTGCTTTGTGACCACCTAGAGGGGTGGGATAGGGAGGGTGGGAGGGAGACTCAAGAGGGAGGGATATGGGGATATATGTATGCATATGGCTGATTCACTTTGTTGGACAACAGAAACTAACACAGTATATTGTGAAGCAGTTATACTCCTATAAAGATCTATGTTTAAAAAATGATTATCTAAAAATGTATCCCCCAAATGGCAATTTAATTCAACTACAGAATGTGGTACACCTGATTATCTGAACAAAATTCACAAGTATCCTTTTCCTGTTTTCCCCCTCGAGTACAATATAGTGACTCCACTGAAAACTATCTGTGCCCCTTTAATCTGCCCACTTCTCATCCCAGACGCAGGGCAGGGCAAGAGCCGGACTCCAGGGAGAAGAGGTGGAGGTCGTTGCAACAGGACCCACACGTAGGGGTGCAGTTCTCAGGGTTGAGTCCAGAAGCTGAGGAGAAAAATTCTAGAGGTTTCTGGTGGTGGCTTTGGAAACTTTAGGTGACGGGACCCCATCCAGGGCCTCTGTCGTGTGCATCATGGCCTTCTGCACCAGGGCCGGGCGAGCTGTCTCGGGGCCTTGCTGGGAGGCTGCAGGGGAGTCAAGCTGATCTCATTTTAGGTCCAGAGCTAATGGGCGGTGGTGCCATCTCTTATAAGAAATGAGCCCTGCCTCTGAAGTGACTCAGCTGAAGTGAAGCAGAGCCCATTTGCGCTGGCACTCAGCAGGGTCTGTGGACAGCAGCTGACACTCGGCACTTACCGGCAAATCCAATCTCCAAAACCACAGAAGTCATCTCTGGACTTGCACTGGGGTATTAAGCTTGACATCTGACCACCACAGCGCTTCCTGCCCCACTGTCTCTCTCTCAGTTCACTCATTTGCCCGGAGACTGTGACAGGCCCGCGTCAGCATGGAGGACCCGTGGTCTCCATTTCTGGCTGCATCTGTGTCCCATCCATTACTGAGACTAAGTGTTCTGAAAAACCCGGAGGTGGGATACTGCACCTTGGCGTTTCTCGAATTCAGAAGCTTGGCTCATTCGCATTCTAGTTCTCTGACAACTTGGATTAAATCCTGTTCCAAAGAATTATGAAGAAAGTTCAGAATCTTACATTGTAGTAGCATTTGTTTATATTTAACTGCCTGAAATAAATGGGCCATGACTAATACTTAAAATCTATGGTTATTTAGGGATTGGTCCCCTCATTAGCATTAGTTGGGGAAATAGGGTTTTATATATTCTGCTTAAAACACAAATTTTAGAAATCGTATTGGACCCTTTCTTTGAAAGGGTCTCAGTCCTTTTGCCACAGGGTCTCTAGATTGTGGACAATTTTTAATAATGCAGGTTAACTGGATCCTGTTAAGTCCTATATGCCCACAAGGATTATTCTGTAACAGTCTAACTTAACGTGGCTGCTGTGAAGCTTTGAAAAAGCTTTTGCTTAATATAGGGCACGTTTTCATCAACAAAATCTACAAGTTCTCTTGTCACTTTAAATTCAGCAGAGATGTTTAATGGTGCTTATAGCCTGTATATCTAAAATTATCTATTTAAAACTGAAAAGGTTTGGTTTTAGGTAAGTTGAATCAAAACCTATGTTGGAGCAGCCAGTTCAGATCTCAGCAGATCCCATTCAGTATTTAATCAATCCAGGGTATTTGACTGTTGAGCAGTTTTCTCTACAACTGCTAAGTGAGAAGATCTAATCCATTTTAGGCTATCCTTGCTCTGCACTGTTTTTCCCCTAAAAAAAGCAGTTGTCTGGTTTTTATGAAGAGTAGAAATTTCTCCTCTTCTAATGAATTCATAAACTTCCTATAGATGAGCCCAACTACATGACATACAAAAGAAAAGACTGGGGACCTGGGAATAACCAAAGTCCTAAGTGACTCTGTAGCAGTGCTACTGGCATTTATAACTTTCAGTTGTCCTCATTATTCACAGTATTTTGTATAACTAATTTTTCTTCTATGGTAATTCGTTTTGATCTCACAAGTTAAACTCCTAGTGGCACTGTAAGACGAAGGAAGTCTGTCACTCTCTCGCTTCCACACACACGACAGGAATTCAAGGCTCAGCTCAAATCTCATCTCTGTGAAGCTGTCCCCAACCTCTTCAGCCCAAAGAAACCCCCCCCTTCCCTGTGTCCCCTCAGCTCTCTGATGCTCCCTTTTTCTTAAGGAAGGTGTCAGCTGCATTTCCACACTGTCAAGTGGAGGGTAGGGCCTCTCTTTGCATCTCTCACAGCACCCAAGCAATCAGTGAATGCCTTCTGAATTGACTACCACTATAAACCGGCCAAGTCTAGTTCTACCAATACAGAGCAGAATTTATACGAAAGATTATTTTACTAAGAAGGATTCATTTCCTAATAAGCTGTTCGTATTCCTCACATATTATACTATTATTGGGCTTTAATATACACTATCTCTTTCAAACTGCATAAATGATGGTCCATGAATAGCTCATAAATTACTTGCTAAAATTTGAGTTCCTAAAAGTCACAAGAGGTAATTTATTAGTCATTGTATCCCTACCTATAGCAGTATCTGATACTAAGTAGATTTTTTATAAATGTCTGCTGAATTTAAAAGATTGCAGTTCCAAAAACAATGCCACAGGAAAAACCCACTTGATTTCTTTATGTGGTCAAAAGTGACAGATGCCGCCAATACACAGATTAGCTTTAACGCCAAGGATCAGAGAAGGACAAAGACGTTTGGTAGACTGTCAAAGACCAGCACATTGACTGTAGACCCAAACCAGAAGGTAATGTGGAGAAGATGACTGATAGATGTTTCCATCTAATTAAAAGATTTTAGATTAGAGGTTTTAGATTAACTTTGAGTATCATTATAGCTCTTAGTTTGCATTTATATTGTACAGCCAATAGCCCTTAAACTGTTTTATAGTAGCTTTACTCAGCAGGGCAAGTTGAAGCATGTAAGATTCCATACAATACAGAAACAGACAGTCACACTTCACTACTGAAACTTGTAATATTTTGTCCTGAAAACGTCTTAATATGAATGTACTTTTTTTTGTGCCCTCAGATAGTCATGGACATATTGATCCCTCTCTGAGACCCATCTGGGATTTAGCTTTTCTGGGCAGCTCTTACGTGATGTGGGAAAAGACAACACAGTTTTTACACTACTACATGGCACAGCTCAGCAGTGTGAAGCAGTGGGTAAGAAAAACTGACAATTAACTTGTACCACAAGAGATACAACCAATGCAATGTTCTTAGACTAAATTAATGTGAACTTCTAGATCTGTGGCAAGAGTTTTAATTGCATTTCATTAACTCAATAAATATGTGAATGCCAGGTATGGTTGTGGGGACTGAGGATATAGCACTAAACAAAAAACTCAGTGTAGCTCCCCTTATTGAGACTAATTCTAGCAAGAGAAGAAAGACAGTGAAGCGATAAACAAGTAAACGTGGTAGGTGCTATGGAGAAAAATAAAGTAGGGAAAAGGGAATGCAGGGTATTGACAGAATTAAACTTTAGTCTAAAGCAAGGCCCCTCAAATTTAAGCAGAGGTGACACTGGAGCAGAGGCCTAAGGGAAGTGAGAGTGAGCCACGCCTCCAGAAGGGAAGGCATTACAGACAGAGGGGACGGAGGCAGCATTGTGGCTGATGGGTTGGAGAAACAGCAGTGAAGCTGGTATGGCTGCAAGAGATTGAGCACGGGGAGCGTGCCGGGAGATGAGATCAGATAGAGGCGGTCAGTTCATGGAAGGCCATTAGAAGGACCCTGTCTTTTACTCACTACAGGGTTTTTAGCAGAGAAGTGACACGATCTGACTTACAACAGGATCATTCTGGCTGCTGTGTTGAGAACAGACTGTAGATAGACAAGGGTGGAAGCAAGGAGAGCAGTAATGTATTGCAGTAGCCTAGGCAAGGCCTGGTGGGAGCTCGGACCAGGGTGGCAGCAGTGGATGTGGTGAGAAGTGTTTGCATTTTGAAGGTAGACTGACAGTATTTGTTGATGGGTTAGATATGGATATATCCAAGAATGAGAAAAGTCAAGGATGATTCTTATGATTTTGGCCTGAGTAACTGGATGGAAGGATAGAGTTTTCACTTACTGATTGGGGAAGACTACAGAGGAACAGATTTGCGTGGAAATTAGCTTGAGTTGGAGCATTCTAAATTCCATAACCAAGCAGAGAATTTGTATCGTCATCTGGACATAAGAGTCTGAAGTTCAGGGGAGATGTCTAGGCTGGAGTCATCACCACACAGATGGTTTTTAAAGCCTCAAGAGTGGATGAGAAGAGAGAATGAGTGTAAACAGAGGAAGGTTATGTAGGGATTGAGTCCTGGAACACTTCCAACTTTAGCGGGTTTAGAGATATGAGAAAGAAGTGTTTCAAGGATGAGAAAGAAGTGTTTCAAGGATGAGAATTGACTATCTATCAAATGCTGCTGGAAAGTCAAGAAAGATGAGGACCGAGAATTGCCATTAGGTTTAGGCAAGCTGGAAGTAGATGGAGAGCTTATCAAGAGCTGTCTCACTGGCACAGTGTGGGCAAAGTCCTGATTAGAGTAGGTTCAGGAAAGAATGGGAGAGGAAGTGGACACTCCATGTCTTTCAAGGAATTTAGCTATAAAGCGGAGTAAAAGGGAGGGAGGGGGCTAGAGCTGGAAGATGCGTAAGCACAGGGTTGAAGGAGGGTTTTCCGTTGTATTTTTAGATTGGGCAATTTAACGGCATATTTATATGTTGATGAGAAAAATCCAGTAGAGAGGGGCAAAGTAGGACTTGTAGGGAAGAGAAGGAAGACTTGTTGGATTTAACATCTTTGAGGAGATAAAGAGGATATGATCGATCCAGGAGATGACTGGACAAGGGCACAGAGTTCACCTGGAGCAAGGGTTTCAATGTGGCACAGATGCTGGTAGGAGGGTGGGTATCACGTGGCGGCCTGTGGAAGTTCTTTCCTGACTGCTTCTGTCTTCTCAGTGAAAAATGAGGCAAAGTCACCAGCTGAGCGTGAGGATGGAACAGGAGGTGAGAGGGGGTGGGAGTGCGTGGATTCGAGCATCACGCAGCACTGCAGGCCTCTGAAGGTCTGTGGTCGCGAATTTAGAGAAGGGCCAGTCACTCAACTGGTGGGGTGCGGACAAGGAGGTGGCTGAGGCACCTGTCATGTGGAGCAGGAGGGGCACTTCCAGAGTAAACAGTATCAACTACTCAGAGGCAGGCTGAGCCAACCATAAATACACATTTCTAAAAATCGTTTTCTTCACGGGTGGCTGAAGCAGTACATTCGCCATGGATGGAGAGCAGTGAGTATCTTCTGAGTACAAGGAGTTGCCTGGCGTCCAGTCAGCATTATTCACGGTGGTAACAGCTCGGTGTACCTTTCAAAGGCCACTTGTGAAGCAGATAGCTGTTTGAAATGTAGTTTCATTCCTTATCGAAATGAACGTTTCTTTCCCCTATGGAGTGGCTTTGATAGAAATGGCCGTGTAATTGACTGCTGTTACACCAGGAGTTAGGGCACAGCACCGATTCTTTGGCTGCAGGTAAAAAGTTTCTCTCGTCTACCAAGACAATCATGTCCTCCACAGAAGGCTTTTCCTTTAACTGAGAAGTTAGGGGAAATTTTTTGTTTAGTGTAGAAAATGGCGTCAAGATAATAGAACTAATTTTAATGAATGTCAGAGGAAAACTCAATAAGAATAGAGCAACAGGGACACAAAAGAAAAAATTAGGATCTTTTAATGGCATTGTTTTCCATTCTTCTGCATTTATAAATGACACATCACCTAAGTAAACACCAGGACGTACTATGGTTTGAAAACAGCAGCCCCATTTCTCACTCATTCTAGCCAGTCTGTCTTTGATGTCCATCATCTGTCCATTAATATCCCTACAAGTGGGAAAGTGGGGACAAATGTAATTGTAGAGCTAAGAAAACAAAAATGCAGGGGGAACAGGACTTTTAGATTTTTTTACCCTGTGGTGTCTGTGTTTTAGATAAATAGTAATTGAAGATGCAGCTGACTTGGTTGGGTCACCTAAGGCAAATGACTTCTTCTCTTAGGGCTATGAAATGAGGGTCAACAAGCTTATTGAGTGAAGCCCTCGAAACTAACATAAAGCTAAAATACGGAAGCAATTGGGAAATTTGGATTAAGGTTGATATGCATTTCAGATTAGAGTTTTTTTTTTTAAAAGCCTCCAGCACCCAGTATTCCCAGGCGGCCTCCCATCCAAGTTACTAATCAGGACCAACCCTGCTTAGCTTCCAAGGTTAGAGTTCTCTTAAATAAAAGCAAGCACATACCCAATAGATTTTCAAATTCTGCTATTTGGTGGCTACTAAAGATTCTTGTGATCTTTCAGAAAAATAAGCAACATAACAACAAGCAAAACAAGCAACAATTTCTAAAAAAGTCACCACGATCAGAAAGTCTAGGGACTGTCCCTGGAGACCAGAAGCAGGACAGTAGGGCTGACAAAGCAAAGACAGAAGCAGGGAGTGACTGGAGGTGCCCGTGGCCCAAGGTAGCTCAGGAATCTATAGGGATTATAGTTTTTTCCAAAAGCTTACTGGGTGGGAATTACTCTCTCTCCACTCAGGGATAATCCAATTGTGTAAGGCAGTGCAGCCTTATAAACTTCACAGCCCCAAATGAACACAGCCTGAGAGAAGAGTGGGCTAAGAAATAGCTGAAATACAAATATAAGACCCATCTTACCGGCAGTTATTGCCTTAGGACTGAAGAACAGATGTCATTCCCAAACCATGAGGACTAAGCCAAGGGCAGGGGAGATACTAATGGCTAGAAAAAAAAAAAAAGGATAAGGACTTTCCTGACACCCTTTAGCCTTTCTTTAATGTGAACTGAGGAAAGTAAAACTGTTACTTTTCCAGCATTGTTCCAAATCTTATCAGTACCAGATACTGTCAGCATCGCAAACTATCTAACCGGCAGCACATCACTGGCAGCCAGCCCAAGTCTTCACCCTAACTAGAGGCCTCCATCGGCCGACAGTACATTACAGAAACCATTGTATCTACCTCATTCTGCTAAGAAATCTACTTTTGACTTGACACCATAAAACTCCTTGAAAAGAACATAGGCAAAACGTCCTCTGACATAAATTGTAGCAATGTTTTCTTAGGTCAGTCTCCCAAGGCAGTAGAAATAAAAGCAAAACTAAACAACTGGGACCTAATCAAACTTATAAGCTTTTGCAGAACAAAGGAAACCATAAACAAAACGAAAAGACAACCTACGGAATGGGAGAAAATATTTGCAAATGATGCGACCAACAAGGGCTTAATTTCCAAAATGTATAAACAGCTCCTACAATTCAATATCAAAAAAAAAATCCAATCAAAAAATGGGCAGAAGATCTAAACAGACATTTCTCCAAGGAAGACATACAGATGGCCAACAGGAAAAAAGATGCTCAACATTGCTGATTATTAGAGAGATACAAATCAAAACTACCATGAGGTACCACCTCACACTGATCAGAATGGGCATCATTAAAACATCTACAAGTAACAAATACTGGAGAGGGTGTGGAGCAAAAGGAACCCTCCTACAACTGCTGGTGGGAATGTAAATTGATACAGCCACTATGGAGAACAGTATGGAGGTTCCTTAAAAAACTAAAAATAGTTACCATATGATCCAGCAATCCCACTCCTGGGCATACATCCAGAGAAAACTATAGCTTGAAAAGATACATGCACCCCAACGTTCACAGCAGCACTATTCACAATAGCCAAGACTTGGACGCAACCTAAGTGTCCATCGACAGATGAATGGATAAAGAAGATGTGGTATAGGCACACAACAGAATACTACTCAGTCATAAAAAAGAATGAAATTCTGCCATTTGCAGCTTCATGGATGGACCTAGAGATTCTCATACTAAGTGAAATAAGTCAGAAAGAGAAAGACAAATACCATACGCTATTACTTATATGTGGAATCTAAAATATGAAACAAATGAACTTATTTACAAAACAGAAGTAGACTCACAGACGTGGAAAACACACGGTTACTAAAGGGGAAAGGGGGTGGGGGAGGGATAAATTAGGACTTTGGGATTAACAGATACAAACTACTATATATAAAACAGATACGGACTTCCCTGGTGGTGCAGTGGTGAAGAATCTGCCTGCCAATGTAGGGGACATGGGTTGGAGCCCTGGTCTGGGAAGATGCCACATGCCGTGGAGCAACTAAGCCCGTGCACCACAACTACAGAGCCTGCGCTCTACAGCCTGCGTGCCACAACTACTGAAGCCCGCGTGCCTAAAACCCGTGCTTTGTGACGAGAAGCCACCACGATGAGAAGCCCGCACACTGCAACGGAGAGTAGCCCCCGCTCACCGCAAGTGGAGAAAGCCTGAGCGCAGCAACGAAGACCCAACGCAGTCAAAAATAAATAAATTTATTTAAAAAATAAAATAACCAACAAGGACCTACTGTATATCACAGGGAACTAGATTCAATATCCTGTAATAAACCATAATGGAAAAAATATTAAAAATATGTATAACTGAATCACTTAGCTGTATACCAGAAACTAACAACATTGTAAATCAACTAAACTTCAATTAAAAAAATATCAACTTCTGATAGCATATATTAATAACCTAAGCCTACTTATTCTCTACTAAAACCACACTGGTTCTGCTAGGGATCATTCCTTTTTTTTTTTTTTAGTGGGGAGGGGAGCAGTAGGGCTAGGGTAGGTCACGAGTAAGTATAAGGAAACCAAATACTTCGTTCTGTCTCCAGGAAGATTAAAGTGCTAGGTTATCAGAAAAATGTGACAGTAAATCATCAATTTGGACTATAAGGATTTGACACATGTGATGATTTGAACAAAACCAAGGAGATTATTTCTGAGTATTAAAAATGATGGCTTCCTGGCAGAGCCTTGCTTGGTGTGGGCAGTGCCCCCTGGGTACTTTGCCAGGCTGGGCTGCGCCGTGTCTGGGCTGCAGCTCTTTAATAAGGCCTGGTTTGGTTTGGTCTAAGGGCGCTTCCCCCTGAAGGAGGAAGAATCTATGAACAGAAACATGAGGTGTGTCTCAGGAGCCTTACTGAGGAAGGTCTTAATTAAATGAAGAGGGTGCCCAAGCATTATAATAATCCAAATTTTTGTTTGGATTATTAAAAAATGGGTAACACTTGGTATTGAGCAGAAGTTTGTCAGATGGACTTGGAACGCCATGATTTGTTTCAAGCCTTTCTTCCTTTTTGCCTAAAATCTGGGGATTGCCATGATTTCCTTAAACGCTATTTTCAGAAACAGAAAGAGGCACTGTCCTGAAAAAACACTTTATAAGACCAATTTTTTAACTGTAGGAATACATGGTAAATAGACCTTGAGAAAAAGTGCAGGCAGCACAAAAGTCTGAGACAAAAATTACACAGCACAGCAGCCAGCTGTGTCAATATAGTCCAAGGTCAACATCGTCACCAAATAAGAGTCAGACAAGGCTAAATGGACCCCCCAAACCCAGCAATGCCCAACTGATAACTGGAGCCTCCAGAAACCGTTCCTTTAGATAAAAGATGCTAAATTTTCTCTCATGAATTCTGACTTTGCAGCCTGTGTTTTAGATATTTGCTTTCACCATTCATGGGTACACTGCAAGGCAGAAGGGAAACCTACCCAATGACGCAAAGCACCACAGAAGAGCAGTCACTTTCTGATTGATCCAGGCCCTCTCTTGTATCATATCCCTCCAGTACCCCCTCCACCTGATGGAAATTTCACGGCTTGTAAAAGTCTTCATCAGTGTAAGCAAAGGGAAGATAAAACTTAATATCAAGTCCTTTTTGTTTTTGCATATTCTTAGTCTCAATGAAAGCCTGGTAGATTAAAATCATAATCCAAATTATTTTTTTTACTCCTTCTCTTCCATTTTTACTAGTAAAGGGATAAGCACTTTTGTGCCCCAACCTTTTCCCCTCAAAACAGTTACTGTCAAAAAGAAAGCAGGAAATCAGTTTAGTCACTCTTAAAATTTATAGAAATCAAGAGAATAAAAGAGCTGAGGGAGACTGCCTGCTTACCTATAAAATGTGCTGGTTTTAGAAGCAGTGTGGTACCGCATGAAGGATGTGGGTGGTGGAGTCAGTAGATCTGGGTTTGAATCCCCACTTGTCACCTACTAGTTGTAACCTCAAGTTGCCTTCCCTGTAAAAGACAGAATTCCATAAGAACATGTATAAAGTGCCTAGCAGAGAACCTGGCCCATGGTGTCCTTCTAGAAATCCTGATTGCCCTGCCCCTTGTCTTACTGCCTGGCATATCAGGGCTATAAATCAGCTTGAGGTGCATATACAGTATCTAGATTCCTTAGCTTGTCAAAAGATTCTCCCTATTCTCATAGACCTTAATTTCCATCAAAACCCATAAACATTAGAGAGAAAAAGTGACAGAAGGACCTTACTAGATTATCATGACAGTGGCAAAACAGTAAGAATCAACAACTTCCACATCTTAATGCAGGATACCACCAAAGGAGATGAGGCTAGAATCAAAGAGGCGGCAGGTGATTCAAGGCACCCATCCACCCATTCAAGGCAGGTGATACAAGATGAGCCTTCCAAATTCTAAGCTAATATAAACCCACACTATCTATCGCACTAACTCTTTCTTTCTTCTTCTAGAAAACAAATGAAGATGCAATTGATTTTGATTATACTGTTCTACTCCATGAATTCTCAACACAGGTAAAACAAAACGGTATATAGAACTGTTTAAACCACAAGTTTTTGCAGATCATAATATTTTAGAACTCTTATTTCCCAGGAAATGATTCCCTGTCATATTCACGTGGTCTGGTACCCTGGCAAACCACTGAAGGTGAAGTACCACTGTCAAGAGCTACAGACACCAGAAGAAGCCTCTGGAACTGAAGAGGCATCAGCTGTGGCACCGACAGAGCTTAGTAATTTCTGAAAAGCAAAAAAGATCTGTTTATACCAAATTCTGAACAAAATGATTATATTAAATAGCCTAAATCATTATTCTAGTAAAATAGCCAAGGTACAAGGCATTCTAATAATTTGGGAAAGCCTGTGATTACAAGTAAATACTCAAAAATTAAAAGATACTGGGATTTTTGGTTTTCGATTGGTTTGGTTTAGTTTTCAACTGTGGGAGCACATGCAAACTGAACTCTGCTCAGTGCTAAACAGTTACTCTGCAGGTTCCTCAGGGTTTCAGCCCTAAAATGTAAAACCAAGTCAGTTAGTGTGTGCTGCAGCTGGACCAGTAAGTATTTTAAAACATAACAATAAAATTGATGGTCACATCTATAAATCTGCATTTCTCAATATTCTGAACATATTGTAGCTAACTATTCTGTGTTGTTAAATTGCTTCTACCTAGTATGTAAAAAAGATAATATATTTCAATGAAAGCAAATTGTAGGGAAAATATTACCTGTTTAAAAGGAACTTTACTATTTTTTATGATTTTGAGCAAGTATTCCTTTTAAATTTGATATCTACTTTTAAATGTGTTTCTAAATAAAATGTGTTACATGTGTTTGTAGAGATTTGTCTATATAGGCAAAATTTGTGCTAAGCTGGAATTATAGGATATTTATATATTAATAAAAACTTTACAAATAAAAAGAGTGTCTCAGAGATAAAGCCGAGTGTCTGCAAACATGTATTAAATGGAACAGTGATGTAACTGAAAGTACATAAAGTATTTACAATTTTCATTTGTAAGGACAACTTGGACCCAGTGTTGGCCTAAGTAATTTATAAAAACAAACAATATGTACCATTATCAGATTCGTGGAGTACCTCCCCAAGGCAGGAAATGTGGCCAGCATTTGCCTCTCAAAATTAGTATTTAATGGAATGCTTATATTCATGTCTCAAAACCCCTAGCCGGGTTCCTTGATCAGTAGCTGGTTAGGAAGCATCAGCCTTTTTAAAACATACCAAAATGTTACCTTTATGTCTGTAGTAGAAAACTGAAAAAGTTTATACTAAATAGAAAAAATTTTAAGACATGGACTCTTACAAAATAAAAGTAAGATGAATTATACTGTTACTTTTTAGCAGAGGCAGATCATGTATTATTCTGTTTAAAACCCCAACCCCTCTGCATTCATCTTCCCAACATCCTCTGGATTTAAGGACTGTAAGTTTTCCAAAGCACTGGAAACAATCATTTAAAGAAAACATCAGATCTCCCACATATATGATAATGCAGAGAAAATACTTTCCCTAAGATATCAAACAATCTAGTGATAAACAATGCCAGAACCAAGTAATAAACTCTTCTAACTGAAGTTCCCTAAATATTTTGGAAAAAAAAGTGCCAAGAGCATTATAAGAGCATATTCAATGTCCTGTGATTTTTAATCTTTCAGTGTCACGTTAAGAGCTAGAAAGGGGTTTCAGCTTTCTTGTCTCAACTTTCTAAAAGTCCTCTCATCCTTGTAAAGGCATTTTAAATTAGTGAGATTAGGCTCACAAACGTGATCATAATTCAATCAGGTAAGGAAGCTAAGGTGGTAACCCTTTAACAGATTTCGGTATAATCGATTATGAAGGTGAATTTACACATATGACATACAAAAAAATTACCTAATTTATAAATTTACAAAACCTATAAGTTAAACCAACTAAAAATTTCTCAATTTCACCACCAGAACATCTTTTCTAGCACAAACTCTAGAACTGCTGACTTGATTTTACTAATACTGATTTTGCTAGCTAACAGAGGAGAAAAATTACTTCATCTGCCTTGACATAAAATGAAAACCTCTAAATTCCCTAAGCCCTCTTTTATTCATTAAGAGTCTAAAGAATTCTGAATCACTCTGACCCAATGACAGTAACAGAGAGCATCACATTTATTTTCCTAATCTCTTTAGAATTTTCAAAAATTTTAAGACATACAAAATAACACCAGGATTTTGCCTGCATTCCATTTGACTCTACTTATAGTTTTGTTTTCCCTACCTGAGTTATGAATAGTTAGAAGTTAAGCAAGTTCTTCTGAAAGTCAATTGGAAGTTTCTATATTGGCCCTTGAATGAATGACAGTGCTTCATGACATATGAGTTTATCACACTGATTTCTCTCAGCTTAGAAAATTCTATGACCTGTTCTGTGACCTTTCCTAACTTTCAAAGTGCTACAATCACTAGCATGCTGCCTGGCACTTATTTGAAAGGATAAATGAATCCATGCTCCCAATAAATTGCCTGTGAAAACATGAACTGTTTCAACGATGCATTACAGTTTTATTTGAAGACGCTTTAAGCAGCAATTAAAGCTCTAATTCAAAAATTGACAGTTCTAGCAATGCAAGTAGATGTTTTCTACAAAGGGATATATTCCTACACGTCACAATTTACTACTTACCTGGTGGCTGCCTCACTTCACTGGCATCAATTTTAAGTCTCATCCAGATTTCAAAAGTATTAAAATCTGAAAAATCCTAAAATTTCAGTATTAAATTTTAGTGACTTCACAACGTAAATCTAAGAGTGAGCAAGGAGGCAAGGAATAACAGAAAATTGACTGTACATCTTTAAAGATAAACTTACCAAGCTAAGAACCAATAGCCCAATCACTAACGTCACACAAAAGAACACTAATAATGTGACACATCTGAACAAATCCTGCATTTCATGTTTTGGACGTACACGTTATACTGCAATGGTCTTTAACCTTGCCTGTATACTAGAATAAGCTGGAAAACTTTTGATCTTGATGCAAAGAATCAGAGTATCTAGGGGTTGGCCTGGGTAGTTCTCTTTAAAGCTTCCCAAGTAATTTTTAAAGTGCTGCCAGAGTTGCGAATCAGGGCGATACTGCAGCAGGCCTAGTGCTGCTACCATTCTCCAACACAAATAATACTGTCTTTAAATTAGCCAACAATCATCCTTTACAACAGTAGTATAAAAGAAACCCTCATTTATGAATATTCTCATTAATTTTTTCCTTATACAGACTTTGGCTGGTATGTGGTCTTTACCAACTCTAACCAAACTAATGAGTTAACAAAAGATGTGGGTTCTGGTCCTGGATGGGTTCCTATGTGATCCTATTCTAGTTACTCCCACCAGCTGGGCCTGTGTCGTTGCCTGTGAAACGCTGGTGTTGTGTTAGATATCTCGACTCTTTTCTGGCACCATATCTTCATAACCAAAATGTTTTCACAAGTAAAAAGCACTTCCAAATTTATCCATCTTAGTTCTAATATTTTTGACTGTTAGCAACAGCAAGAGGAACTGTGCTAAATTCTATTAAGGTATTTCCTCATCAGGAACAATATTCAAAGTCAGTGTGAATAGCATGAGATGCTGATGAAATGCCAAAGCAACACAATTTTTCAGGCTTGATGCTACTGTAGCAACAGACATATTCATGGGAAAATGCACTTGGTTTGATAAGTATCATAACTGCATTATCAATTTGAAAAGTTAAGGAGCTGTGTGGTCTTAGATGAGTTATTTACCTTACTCTGTGCTTTTGCCTCCTCTATTACAAAATGGTCATAATAATAGTACCTAGTTTCATAGGGTTGTGAAAACTAAAATGGATAATGCATTTAAAGCATTTAACAAATGCCTTGAAAACATTTGCTCAATACTTTTTAAAGGTCTTTTTTCTAGGAACCTGAAGTTATAGAGCCAAATCTACAAATCAAGAAAAACAAAGGAATTTAAAACAGTTATTTCATGTCTATTATCCACTAAGGGAAAGGACTAGGATATGTCTTTCACATCAGATGGTTTTTGGATGAAGCAATTCTGCACAATATGGTAGAACTCCCTGGCAATGTCCAACATTCTCTAGCTTAACATTTGTTCTTTCACAATCTCAATGAATACAATATATGATACATTCCAGCAGACTCTAATTCAACTAGCATTTAATAGGTGGATGAAATAGACTAGCCACCAACCCTGTAGGTTATTATTTCCAGGCTGCAGAAACAGTAAAATGAACATAGACAAGAATAGCATATGCAAGGGCCTTTTTTTTTTACCTCACAGGTCTGCAAAAAAGTAACATTTATACTCCTAAAAACAAGCAGTTCAAAATCTGCAGAAGCCACAAATTGAAGCAATCAGCTCTATATAAAACAGCTAGAAATTTAGCTAGCATTAGAAAATCTGAAAAGTGTTCTCCATTTCTTTTTAAGAAAACACTTTATCCCCGTGCCTCATTTATTTCATAATGAAGTTTGCACCTTTTCATCTCCCTCACCTATTTCACCCCTCCTGCCCCTCCCTCCCCTCTGACCACCATCTACTGGTTGTTCTCTGTATCTGTGAGGCTGTTTCCATTTTGTTACGTTTGTTCACTTGTTTTGCTTTTTAGACTCCACATTTAAGTAAAATCATACACTATTTGTCTTTCTCTGACTTATTTCACTTAGCATGATACCCTCTAGGGCTAGCTATCCAGGTTGTCACAAAGGAATCCACTCTGAAACAAAAAAGGTGATGCTCCAAGAAGTGTTATGATATATGCAATTCACTTTCAAGTATACAGCAAAACAACTTGAAGGATGGAAGTATGCAACATAGATGGGACAACAAACAGAAAAAGCAAATATGACAAAACAAATTATTATCCGATAAACACTTGACAAAATTGTTCATTGTTGAGTCTAGATGGAAGGTATATGGCTGTTCTTTGTACTATTTTTTCAGCTTTTCTGTATGTTGAAAATTCTTATGAAAAAATGTGGACGTTTATACATGTTCTAAGCTTATTCAGTATAACAGAAATAAGTATCTTCCTCAAATAAATATTAAATATATTTCAGTAATAATCATATTTTATTTGAGGTATAAAACCAATCAACCATTGAGATATACACAGAATTAACTATGATATAACAGAAGCTCCTGAATATAATAGGAAGGGCTTCTAAAATTACTTCTTTTCAGGCTGAATTTATTCCATGAATCCATTAACATATCTAAACCTTGCAGATACAGTTAAAGTTAGTCAACAAAGTGAGGAAAGTTAGTTCTTGGCGTTTCCTTTTTTTACAGGAAGTTGACCTGTAGCTTCCAAATACTTATTGATAAGGTCTTCTTGTGTAGCTGGTAAACATGGCTGATATCTGCAGTACTCCATTGTATATTCTCCCTTCCCCTGGGGGTTTAACACAAAAACAGAAACAAAAAGCAGATTTTTTTTTTTTTTAACAACTATCAAGTAAAGTCATGAAAAGACAAGATTTCACAAAAATGATGATTTTGCAGGATGGTCTCCTGAAGAACACTGAAGTAAAATTTAAACACTTGCTTACCTCTGTGCATGACCTAAGTTCAGTAGAATAACCAAACATTTCATTTAGAGGGACCTGAAAACACACACAGTAGATATTTCAGCATTGCTTATTGAAAAATATTTGAGAAAAATACAGAGAAGACTTAGTCATTTAACTCCTTCCTTTAGACTCAGGTTTCTACTAACTACTCCTGGTTTAAAAGAATTAAAAGCCAAATAGAAACCTGTTTTTGTTTTACCACAGTAGAAACCCTATTTGAAAATAATTTCATT